AATTTTTCTCTCATTTCTAGCTTTTAATTGGCTTAGAAATCAGATAACTGCTGGACAATAACCAATAATAATGATTTGCTTATATACTACAAATACTTTTTTATCACATAATAAGGCAGACTAGTTTCAATACTGTAATAAATGCTGTCAGTTAGCATTGTTCATATACTTTATTTATTACCTGGAGATGACTTGACAAACACAAATAAACCATATATTGTCGCAATCATATGTTTAATGTCTTCATGTTTCCAAACGTTTCTGTTTTTCTGAAAACAACTGTTTTCATACAGCAATAGCTGGACGCTTTTTTCCATATTAGGAATTTCCTCGTACGACTTTCTGCAGCGCCCTCCGGTTTCGAGTGTGAATGAAACATACACTGCACGGAGTGTTTAGCGCTTGGCGATGTTCATCTCGCCTTATTCTGGGTCCGAATATAACATCAGATCATGTACAGACTATCCTGTCTCTTTTAATTTAAATCTATATTTATTCACACCAGTTTTACATTCTCATCAAAGCCCTTTAAAGGGGTCATATGATGCTTTTTAAAAGATCGTTATTTTGTGTATTTGGTGTAACAGAATATGTTGACATGCTTTAATGTTCAAAAAACACATGATTTTTCAAATACTGTACATTATTGTAGGTCCTCTATGCCCCGCCTCTCTCAAACGCTTCGTTTTCTACAAAGTCCCTCCTTCCGACAAGCGCAGTCTGCTCTGATTGGCCAGCTGACCCAGTGCATTGTGATTGTGATTGTGACACACACATAATGTGCAAAACTCCGCATTTGAACAGTCAATAGCAAATACTTAAACTAATAACAAAACAGTAGCTGATTCAGAAGCGTCAGATTGTCAAAGTAAAGTCAGAATTACCTCCTCTCCTAGGTTCACGAAACGGTCGTCCATAAAATGCATTGCTGTTCTGTTGTAAGTAATCTTAAAGATTCCTAAATGCATCTACTTTCGGAAGGCCAAATAAAGTGCTTTTGCTTTAGCCTAGAAACACACAGCGTCTCCCTGACATGGCTGCTTCAACACTAACTGCGGTTACTGAAACCACGCCGCCTTTCTTTGCGTGCACATTTGGGCGGCATTATGCAAATATTTCCACATAGTGAGGTAGATATGTGGGGGCATGTTAGAACGAGCCGTTTTAGGGGGGGCGAGGTCGAGTCTTACCTTTGATAAAGAATATCTCTTTGGTTTTGAGACTTTAGTCTTTGCAACTTCAGGGATCTTATCTATGCACAATCAGCTTGTAACACTCCAAAGAGAAAGGAAAACTTGAAATCGCATCATATTATCGTCCCCCGCGTAATCTATGCCCCTACATGTCTGTAACAGTTCTTGTTTTTTTTAGTTGAAGTGACTTGGCAGGTGACTGACATTTCATTAAGATGATGTAGCTAGTATTCAACAATAATTAGGGATGCACCAATAATGAAAAATTGACCGATATATGGGTCCAGTGATATTTATTTTCAAGCTGTGGACAAAAAAAAATTGACTTGATTTATTTCTTTTTTTCTCTCTCAATTTCAAATAAATGTTTTGTTGTTTAAATGGCATCACAACATTACAGTTTTAAATATGGATAAATAATTTTAAAATTAGTAACGAGAAAGTAGAGGTTATAGTGCTCTTGAAGAATTAAATATAAATGTAATCTAAGATCAAAAAGTAGCTGGAACTACTTGCCTTCTTACTGCAAGCTGGGACATCGTTAGTTTTAGTTCATCTCTGCAGATCTCAAACAGCAAACTTGCTCAGAAACAGTAAGAGGAAATTTGAGTTGTCTTGACTGGTTTCCCTGCAGAGATATTTTAAGTGCCTGTCAGAGAATGGCAGTCTTAAGTTGCCTTGCTTTTCATATTTGCTCTTACGAGGGTGAACGGGTTAAGTAAGGTCAGAATATCTTATATGCTTTTCACATTGAGATGCTTGTTTTTTGCCAAGAAATTGTCTTTATTTACATTCACTCGTCTTTTGCTGTGAGTTAAGCATCTCAGGCAGCCGCTAGATTCATCACTCGCTTGTCACAGTCTATCAGAGCGTCTGATGCAGAATGCAGATCTGGGGTAATCCAGAGCCGGAGGTATAATAGTCAGGGCCAGCTCTCATGGCGGCTTTCCAGGCCAGAGAGACGCCACGTTTTGATACAGTCGGTTAAGTTACGGCCCCAGTTAGTTTAGCCTCCGCTGCAAAAGGAAACACCGTCAGAGATTTTACAGTGATGAAGTACATAGGACATTGCTTAGTATTCATTTGAACTTGGGCCACTTTTAGTCATTGATTAAAAATAATAAATGTTGTAGGTGATGCTGCATACTTTAGTGAAGTTTTGAACTTGGAAAATGTACAAATCTAGCTGGAAATGGAATTGATTTTGTATCAGATGTGGCATAAATGCACCAAAAATACACAGTTGCATCCAAAACATCGCACTCTGGTTTCAATTTCTAAAACTGGGTCATCTCTTGCTAATTTTGTGTTTCTGTATGTATAAATCACACAAAAATGATGGTGCAGACAGCAGGGCTGTATACTCATCAAAACTGTCCATTTAGATCTAGGATACTTATGCTTTTTAAGCATGCTGATGAACATAGAATTTCCTTCTTTTCCTGAAACCAAAACCAGATGTTCAGTGAGCTGGTCAAAAGAAAATCGTGGCAAGAGGCACTCGGTCTACATGCTTTATTATATGTCATTGATCTTAGTAGTTGATCTAACAACAGGGAACATTCTTAGAACTTTGGCTAACGTTCTGGAAAGGTTCTCTCAAAGGTTCTTTCAGTAACATTAATAGAATGTTTAAAGTTATCTATAATGTTCTCAAAATGTTAGCACAAAAATGGGATGTGTACATCGTTCATGGAATGTTTTCTGTGCACTGTTTTAGTTGGACGCTCATCTTACTACTTTCGAATGTTCAGAGAAACGTTCCCATTGTGTCTGCAAAATGATAAAATGGAATGTTCCCTTAACGTTTTTAAAACTAGATGACATTCAGAAATAATGTTTTCATAACTTAATTAGCAAAACGTTCTTACAGTATATTTTGTTAGCTAACAGTGTTTCCTCTGAGAGCTAGAGTTGGAATTAGAGCAAGCGGGTTTGTAGATTTGTTTTTTGAGCAAATATTTAGTCATCAGTAATAAAAAGGAGGTGACAATATCTCTTTTGTTGAATGACCAAATACCAACAAACATAATCTGGAGAGATTTGAATCTTTTCAGATAAACATACCGCAAATTAAACCCCTTGTTTTGTAGGGTCAAATGTTTTTACTGAACTGAAAAGGCCTGCAAAGCTCTGAAATGATGCAAGATGCGAGCTCCAGTACTGTTGATCAGATGCTATGTTTACAGTCAAGGCTACCAGTCAGATTCTGCTTGAATATGGCTAAAATATTTGTCGTAATTGAGCATTATGCCTTTGTTAGTGCAAACTAAAAGGAAAAAACTATGTTTGAAATGGTCACCGACAATTAAACATTCAATACTTGTGCATCCATATCAATATGTAGTAAATAGAATTTACGTTTTTGTATACCAATTAACTTCTGCTTCAATATGGTTTTGAGTTATGCATTTTTATGTGTGATTTCAAATCTAAAGAAAGCTTGACTACATAGAGTTATCTTGTGCGGAATAATGCATACTCATAATTATGATGCAGTTTGTCTTGTATTCAGAATCAGATTGACTTTAGTGAGCAATCTTGTTCCTTAAAAGACATTTAGATAGATCTTTATAATAGCATGTTGTTTTCTCAACTTTGAATGTGTGCGAAATGTTAGCTGAGGTATTTCTGGAGGTTGACACATAACCCGATATGCATTTGCCGAACACAGGATCAATGCTAATTCAGTATTGATGGAAATCTAAAAATTCCCTCCTGCCAAACGTGAGGTCATTCTCAAGCCTGTGTAACGGGATCTTTTCTCTTGTTACATGACCAATTTTGTGGCTTTTACTCAAAGTTTTCTGCACTGCATGTGGATAGAGTCTCTCTTGTTATTTCTCGTGGGTTCTCTCTTTTAGAAAAGTTGTTGTACATGGCATTTAACAACGTCTAATATCTGTCAAGAACTTTAATATTGATCTAATCAACCAAAATAATCACCATGGTGCTTGAACTTGAGAAAGGTCCCTTTACCCTGAGAGATTGTCTGTGTCAGTTCATCACATGAAAGTTGTAGACATAACTAGCAGTTGCACTGGTTGTGTGGTGATAAAAATTCTTTGCTATAAAAAAAAGCTAAACTGGCTCAGGAGTTTTACCACATGAAAAAAAAAACCGCTCAGACAATTTCCTACGACAATACATACAACAATATATAAATAAATGAAACTGCTGAAACTATCACCAATGCCATATTCATGTTCTGACTGTACAATGTCCCCATAGTATGATTTGTGATAGTTTTATGGCCTCTGGTCAAAAAGAGTCTCTGCTCATTAGTTATGAAGCCCCACCCCTTTTGCTGACAAGAGTGTGTGTAAAGCATCAACAGCCCTGCCCCCTTTACTGCAGTTGCCATAACAAACAATGTGGAATGCAGGAAGTGGATTTTTTTCTTCTTCTGACATGTGTGCCAAATCGACAGTTTGTTGACACAGTTGGAAAATAAATGATGTTTAATTTAGGAAAAGTGAAGTGCAGTGGATGTTTTGAATGGGTGATGTTAATGAAGATGAAATCCAGTGAATTTTTCATGTGAAGTGAAGACTTTACAGAAAGCTGTTCTTGCATGTTTGTGTTGTTTGTTTGGCATTTTTGTAGTGATACTGGCCTAACCTGCTTTCACAGTCAGCCTGAAGCACTGCACATTTAGTCTGTCCATATAACCAAATGCTGTTTTTCCTTTTTTTGTCCACAGAGCAGAGAAGACAGAAGTACTGAATGACGACCTTCTTATGGTGAATATTTTGTCTTTCCATGACTTGATCCTGACTGTCACAAATATTAATGACTGCACAAATCACCCAGCATTCCAGTTTGAAGTCACCAGTGTTATTTTAGTATTATGTGTGTACTATTAAAGTTTTTATTATATGTTGGTCACTTTTTATTTATTTATTTATTTTTTCTCACTATATTTAGGTTAGTTTTTGTTTGTACTTTAATATTTAGTAATCATTTTTATATTTTTAGTTCAGTTTTAGTTTTTATTTATTTCCCGTTAGTATATTTAGTGCTTCAACTTATTGCAGTTAGTTACCAAGTTAACATTTCTAAATTTCATATTGTTTCATATTTTCATCTAATATTTATATTTTTTCAGCTTCATTTAAATTACAATTCTTTTATAGTTTTATACTTGTAGTTAACAATAATAACCCTAAAAGTCATTACAATTCTAATTTTATTAGCTAAATATATATTTTTGATAATTTTAGGCAATTAAGAATGACTTATTCCACCTTTAATAATTTGAGTATTATGGTTTATTTCATGGCTCTTTTGAATGCTTGATTCTGATTTGGCTGTCAGATATTTTTGCATAATGATTTTAAACTATATAATTAATCACTGTCCCTGGCAAATGATTTCCTAAATATGTAAGACATTTCATATCTCCCCACAGCCTTTTCCCCTTACATCTCATTTATGCATCAGTATGTTAATATTTACATATATTTATTTGTTTGTTTGTTTAGTAGTTGTTCAATAAGCAGGATAATGTACAGTAAACTGGTCAAAAAAGACTATATTTAGCAGACTAGCTGACCGTAGATGATCCTTTACATATCTTCTCTATGTGTTCATATTAATCACAATATTGAACATGTATGAATGAATATTAAGGCATAACAAAGCAGATGTTGTGCTCTAGTATGACTTTAGCTCTTATTTATTGTTAATCATGAGCGTCTCTTTTGCTTTCTGTTACACTCAGTGAGTATCTCCTTTACATTCATCTTCTTCGTTCCCACAATCTCTCATTTCACACTCCCCCCTGTTCCTTTTTTTTTTTTTTTGGTTGTTGCAGATAACAGGAAAGCAACTGACTGTCTGATTTTAATATTTCTACCGCCACACAGCCCATTTTTTCACGAATATGAGTGCAACTACGGCTGTTATGAACAAAGGAAAGCCTAAAATAGCTTAAAAAGCACCAAGCCCTAGCAGCTTTATTGTGGCATATGCTGACGCTGGTAATTATGCATATAAATCTAAATATGTGCAATTTACTGCATGACACCCAAAGTCTTCCAAAGCAAACATTCACTCTAAAAAGAAAAACAAATCAGCCTAATCTGTCACTGCCTCATTGTTTAAAAAGTAGCTCATGTTGAAACATGCCTGTGCAAAATGCTGCACAGCTAAAGGGAAATCATTGAAGCTCGACGGATTCTCGCCAGAGCTTTATATGCTGCTCCTTCACCTTCATTCATGCATTCCATGTCCAAGGGTCAAAGTTTAACTGCCTGATTGCTCTGCGTCTTGCGCCACCTCGGGTTTGCAGGAGGGAAAGGAAACATGATAATCGGCCATAAACTCCCTCTTGAAATGAGTCAGAAGGTCTGCCAGGTTAAAAGGCAGCGGTGTTGGCAGATGGCCCCTGTTAGAGCTGCCCTGCCACTGGTTTCTCTGATTGTGGTTGGAGTTTTTGTAAACCAGCGTTGAGGAGTAACACTGCCAGCTGAACAACATTTTTCTGTAGCTAGTTTCAAAACAGGATAGCTTTCTTCTAGTAATGAGACACTTTTTCCAACCAACAAATCGTCACTAAATACTGTTATTTAAGTCACATTGCATTGCGTAGAACTGAAGCAATAATCATATACTCTCTTAAAATAGATTTTTGTATGTGTATGGTATCGAAAAGTCCCAATCATTTTAGTATGGATGATTCATGTAAATTAAATGAACACACACAGATTAATTTCATTGCAGATCAGGGTTTCTATAAACCTAGAACAAAAAAGTTACTTGAAATAAAATAAATGGTAACTGTAGTGCTGTCAAACGATTAATCGCATCCAAAATAAAAGTTTTTGTTTACATAATATATGTGTGTGTACTGTATATATTTATTATGTATATATAAAGACACACACACATACAGTATATATGCTTGAAAATATTTACATGTATGTATTTATATTCATATAATTTATATTATATATAAATATTTAATATATAAACATAGCATATTTTTCTTAAATATATGCATGCATGTGTGTGTATTTATTTATATATATAATAAATATACACAGTACACACACATTATGTGAACAAAACTTTTATTTGGGATGCAATTAATCGTGATTAATCGTTTGACAGCACTAGTTAACTGAAATAAAATACAAGTTAAAACTAATAAATAAAAATGTATACAAACTATATAGATATATTCAACTAATATTAAAACTAATTAAAATGACAAAAACACAACAAAATTATATTACATATACAGTATATGCATAAATCTCATTCTAAATGTAATATCTATAATTTATCTAATAAACACCATTAAACTATTATGGTAATAATAAATAATACTAAAATTACACTGTTACATATCCTTGGTCTGCATTTTAAGTCTTGTTTCATAGAAAATACTGCTGTTGCAATATATTTAACTGGGTGTGTAGTCTAGTTTTATTAGTTGTATTTATTGTATGAATATATCTGATCAGAGTTTCCAAACATTTCCAAATATGCTTTTTTTTCCTAATTCCCTTTTTTTTAATGCAAATAATAAATGAGATCATACATATCTGCGGGGATATATTATACTATGTTATAGTTACATATATATATATATATATATATACACTGAACAAAATTATAAACGCAACACTTTTGTTTTTGCCCCCATTTTTCATGAGCTGAACTCAAAGATCTAAGACTTTTTCTATGTACACAAAAGGCCTATTTCTCTCAAATATTGTTCACAAATCTGTCTAAATCTGTGTTAGTGAGCACTTCTCCTTTGCCGAGATAATCCATCCACCTCACAGGTGTTTTACTGTATTAGGGGGTCCGAAAATCAGTCAGTATCTGGTGTGACAACCATTTGCCTCACACAGTGCAACACATCTCCTTCGCATAGAGTTGATCAGGTTGTTGATTGTGGAATGTTGGTCCACTCCTCTTCAATGGCTGTGCGAAGTTGCTGGATATTGGCAGGAACTGGAACACGCTGTCGTATACGCCGATCCAGAGCATCCCAAATATGCTCAATGGGTGACATGTCCGGTGAGTATGCTGGCCATGCAAGAACTGGGATGTTTTCAGCTTCCAGGAATTGTGTACAGATCCTTGCAACATGGGGCCGTGCATTATCATGCTGCAACATGAGGTGATGGTCGTGGATGAATGGGTGGTCTGCGGTTGTGAGGCTGGTTGGATGTACTGCCAAATTCTCTAAAAAGCCTTTGGAGACGGCTTATGGTAGAGAAATGAACATTCAATTCACGGGCAACAGCTCTGGTGGACATTCCTGCAGTCAGCATGCCAATTGCACGCTCCCTCAAAACTTGCGACATCTGTGGCATTGTGCTGTGTGATAAAACTGCACATTTTAGAGTGGCCTTTTATTGTGGCCAGCCTAAGGCACACCTGTGCAATAATCATGCTGTCTAATCAACATCTTGATATGCCACACCTGTGAGGTGGATGGATTATCTCGGCAAAGGAGAAGTGCTCACTAACACAGATTTAGACAGATTTGTGAACAATATTTGAGAGAAATAGGCCTTTTGTGTACATAGAAAAAGTCTTAGATCTTTGAGTTCAGCTCATGAAAAATGGGGGCAAAAACAAAAGTGTTGCGTTTATAATTTTGTTCAGTGTATATATTGTCCCCTTAAATAGCTTGAGTGCGGTCATTTGTAGGTTGCAGTGTTTTGTTTAAGAATAACTTGAGTGCAATTTATATTATGAGCAGCTTGTCAGACTACAGTTTGAAAGTCAATAAGATCTTCACAGTCAGTATTGTGTAAATGGCTCCAGTGGGAGATTTGACCCCTGCAGGGTGAGTGCTGCCACAGGCCGGTGTGGCCCCGTCATCATTTCCTGTTTGTCTCGCATTGTTGCTTTGCTTGGAAGCAGAACATCTGTAATGCAGTTCTTTTCTTCGTCATTTTTCCCTTTTCCTCATTCCATTAACAAACCTGGTTCTGAAACCTGATCGCTGGTTTATGGAAAATGAGTGTGAAGATTTGTGTGTGCATGTGAGTATATGTGTGTGTGTTTCTGATATATATATATATATATATATATATATATATATATATATATATATATATATATATTCAATA